GGTTACGTTTGCATCAATATCTAGATGGCACACTTAAGGGACCGCATATGTCCGAATGTATAAGTTCAAAAATGTTCTCATGGCGTGTGCGATTTGGTTGTCTAGTTGGCTTCCCTTGAAGACAAACTTCATAAGTGGGAAAATTGATCTTAGTCAAAGAACAAGAAAGCCTCTCTTGGCTAGTTTGTTCTTTCTTTCCTCACTTATTTATAATTTGTCCAAGTCTTGTATGCCAAGTGAAACAGGTTCAGCTATAAGGCATTTACTTGGACTTGCACAATCACAATTTATTACAAATAAACCATCACAATTATAACAAGAGCACAAAATTTCATTACCATAAGAGGTATCAAGTAAATTATGGTGAAAATTTAAGCACAAACCAAAACGCATTAGACTACAAACAAAGATTAAATTTCTCCGAATGACTGGTACATATAGGCAGTCATTCAAAATAAAAATCCGCCCGTTATTAAGAGAAACTTTACAAGCTCCCACCCCTTCCACTTCAAGCCACGCGTATGTTAGATGTGCATGATGAAATATGCATTTTAGATCCACGTGGAATCTTGTGATACTATAAAAAGAGACCTTTTATCTCTTACTATTTTGGTCTGTGGCTTATGAATCAATTACCCAAAAAGAGTTAGATGTGCATGATGAAATATGCATTTGAGTAGAAGTCGTGTATAATTATAGCCAGAATATTTACTTTATCTACAAGGCTCAATAGAACCAATGAATTCGTAGATGAAAAAAGGGAGACGAAAGAAGAAAGAATAGTGTAGAGAATGTGAATTAACATGAATAATAACTAATCACGAAAATAGTCTCGGACTTAAAATCAAAACCATAGGATAAAACACACAATAGGCTAAATTCCACTGCAAAATATTGAAAGCCACGAACATGAACTCGATTTGAGAGTTTAAATGCAAAAAAAAAAAAATCTAACACTAAATTAAATTTGATTTAAGATGCAAGTTGTCTAATTACAATGATATATAGACAATCACTTTATATAAAAATCCATGAGAAAAATAAAATATAACAAATAATAAAGAAACGAATCAAAAGATAGACAATTTTAGATTAAAATTACACTATGTAAAAATTTATAATAAAAAAATTAGATAATAAAGACAATTTTAGATTAAAATTACACTATGTAAAAATTTATAATAAAAAAATTAGATAATAAAGAAAATTTTAGATTAAAATTACACTATGTAAAAATTTATAATAAAAAAAATTCTCTGTTAAAAGCTAAATTTTAAATTTTTCGTAAATAATCTTTCATAAAAAACCATTCTCAATTTTCCTTAATTAATGATCCTCTTAACAATTTAATAATGATTCTCTTAATAATTTTTTATAATTACATTTAGCTTGATAATCTTTCATAATTAATAATTTCTTCTTTTGTTTATCTTGCGAATCCTTTTTCTCCAAGTGAAGGAATGTCTACTTTTATTTTCTTACGAATTTTATGAACATCTATTTTCCGATTGATTTTCGGACATTATTGTCAGAAAAAATAAATATTTACATTTACAGATACAACACAAACATAATAATACAAAAACAAAAAAAGAAGTTTCGTGTGGAGTAAACTTGACGCCTCCTCCAGATCCATCATACTTTATCATGTACACATATGTCAAGAATTGAAGAATAATGGAGCATTAGAAGTTGAATCCTACAAAATGAATTGGAACCGAGGGAAGGAAGAAGGTGAGAAAGAAGATGGAGGTTAGGAAATTGGGTTGTTTCATGGGGCTCTTGTGTATTATGTTTATTTTATTTGTAGCCCACTATCTATTCATTTAAGCCCAATTATAATAGTTTGTTAGAATTAGATTCTGTTTGTTATTTCTGTCAGAATCGTATGTATATAGTGATGTACTGTAAATGAATTTCATTTTGTGAGAAATACAAAAGATCATCTTCCCAAATTCTCTTCATGGTATCAGAGCTTTGAATTATCCTGGCATTACTTCGATCCTATTTCCCTTTCATCCTATCTGTGAGATTGTGATCTCAGTGTTTCAATGGCAACTGATTCCCCCATATCTGGTGCTTCATCAAACTTGACCCCTGGTAATACTGCTGCCTCATCAATGGCATATTTGGAACTCTCTCCTTCTGATCATCCAGGGATGAGTCTAGTGACCACATTACTCAATGACTCAAACTATTTGATTTGGAGCCGTGGCATATTGCGGTCACTTGCAGCTAAGGGCAAAGAAGGCTTCATTACTGGAGAAACTCAAAAGCCTAAGGAACCTGTGGCTGCAGCCATTTGGAGGAGAACTGATAACATGATTCTCCAGTGGATGCTCAACTCTATTTCACCACAGCTAACAGATGCTTTTGGTTATGTAAACTCAAGCCATGAACTGTGGAACATACTCAAAGAGAGATATGGGCAGTGCAATGGTCCTCTCATCTATCAACTAAAAAGGGAAATCTCAAATTTAACCCAAGGTAACATGAGTATAGCCTCTTACTTCACTAAAATTAAGAAGCTAAAGGATGAACTGTGTTCTTTGGCACCCATTCCTGAAGAAAGAAAGGAAGTTGAGGAGTACATTCATTGGCAGGATATAATGGACTTCCTTATGGGGCTGAATGACACATTTGATGCAGTTAGGACTCAAGTCCTCATGCAAGATCCCCTTCCTTCACTTAACAAAATCTATGGAATGCTCTGCAGTACTGAAAAACAACAAGAGATTCATGGCATTGTTCATGATACCAATCCAACTGTCCTCTTCAGCTCCCACAGGCCAACCCTCAAGCCTTTTGACAAGAAGAAAATTGACAAAAGAGGGCTGATGTGTGAGCACTGCAAGAAAACTGGGCACACTAAGGAGACATGTTTCAAATTACATGGAACTCCTGATTGGTTTAAGACAATTCAAGAGAAAAAGAAAAGAGAACACGGAGTTGGCTCTTCAAACTTGTATGCTGAGAGCGCACTCCAGATTGAAGAGGAGAAATTAACTAAAAATGCTGTTTGGAATTCTGGTGCACTCACAGAATTAATTCAAAAAGAGATTCAAAAGGCCTTTGACATAGTGAAATCATCTCTTGATCATCTCAATATGCTGGAGGTTGATCACTCAGGTAAAAGGTGATTAAATGTGCTTTCTGATATCAATATGACTTATTCTTGGATATTGGACTCTGGGGCAACATGTCATATTAGCAATAACCCCTTGCACTTTAAGTCCTTGAATATTTTGAAGAAACCTGTGAGGATACACTTGCCTAATGGATCAGTGCAAATTGCAACACATACAGGAAATATTATGTTGAATGATTCCATCATTCTGTATGATGCTTATCTCATCCCTGATTTCAAATATTGTCTCATATCAATGCCTAGATTATGTTTGGATTCTAATCTATCTGTGAGTTTCAGAGCTAATGAATGCTTGATTCAGGACCAGAGAAGTAAAACTGATGTTGGAAAGGGAAAACTCAATGGGAACTTATACCATCTACTGCGTGAGTCTTCTTTGAAGGTGCTCGCTGCAGAAAAGGAATTTCCTTGGCATCACAGACTAGGACATCCGTCCAATAAAGTGCTAATACACATGCCTTATGCTTCTAATTTTGCTGCAGTTAATAAACCTTGTGATACATGTCACTCTACTAAACAAAGGAAGTTGCCTTTTAATGAAAGTAATTCATATGCTTCATGTTGCTTTGACTTGCTTCACTTGGATATTTGGGGGCCATATAGTGTTCCTTCCTCTAATGGAAGTAGATATTTTTAACTGTGGTGGATGATCATAGCAGAGCAATTTGGACTTACTTAATGAAATCAAAGTCACAAGCACTGAAAATCTTTACTATTTTCCTAAAACTCGTTGAAAATCAGTTCAAAACTAAGGTAAGAAAGGTGAGAACAAACAATGGTGCAGAATATCTAAGTCAGTGTTTTCAGAACCTACTGCATGAAAATGGCATTATGCAGAAAAGACCTGTCCTTACAATCCACAACAAAATGGAAGGGTGGAAAGAAAGCACCAACATCTCTTGACTATAATGAGATCATTGTTAATGCATTCTAATTTGCCTACATCTTTTTGGGGGGAAGCACTTTTGACAGCAACATATCTTATAAATCTTCTTCCTACTCCAGTGATCGAGTGGAAATGTCCCTATCAAGTGCTGCATGGCACACAACCAAATATAGACCACTCGAGAGTTTTTGGATGTCTTTGTTTTGCCCTGAATACTGATCCTTACAGGTCAAAGCTTGGGAAGAGAGCAGTAAAATGCATACTTGTGGGATATGAGCAAGGATCAAAGGGTTATAGAGTCTTGGACATCGAAAGAAATAAGGTTCTAATTACTAGGGATGCCATCTTCTATGAGGATGTCTTCCCTGGTTTTGAAGATAGATCTGGCTGCAACCTTGAGATGCCACAATGTCATACACTGTCTACTGTGGGAGAGAACCAAAGTGTCCCTCACACACCTAATAATTTGTCATCAGGCATAAATATTGAAAACACAGAGGCAACACAAGGGAACAGCCCGCTGACTGCATCAATTCCCACTGATGACTCAAATGTGGGGGATTTCCAAAATATTGATGAAAACTACGTACCACCAGCATCTCTCGGTCTCAGTCCTACACAAACTACTTCAGATGAGTTTGATAGACCTCATAGAGCCAAAAGAAAGCCATGCTTGATGAAAGATTATGTCTGTTCTCATGACACTCCCGAAGATGCAGGTGAAGAACCTCTTACTTATATTGAAGCTGCAGAAAAATCACATTGGGTTGAGGCAATGAATGAGGAAATTAAGGCCCTTGAAGCTAATGAGACATGGGAATTAACCAGTCTACCACACGGAATGAAAGCAATTGGATGAAAATGGATATTCAGAACAAAAAGAAATAAGGATGGAACCATCAACAGGTATAATGCTAGGCTTGTTGCAAAGGGATACTTACAAGTTCATGGAGTTGATTTTGACGAATGTTTTGCACCTGTGGCCAAAAGGTCACTGTAAGATTGGTTTTAGCAGTTGCAGTTGCAAGAGGATGGAGAATTCAACAAATTGATGTGAATAATGCTTTCTTACATGGAGCTTTGGAGGAAGAACTATATCTCAAGCCACCACCTGGTTACTCTGCTACTTCAGATCAAGTGTGTAGATTAAAGAAGTCTCTCTATGGACTCAAACAGGCACCACGTGTGTGGTATAAAACTCTTGCTAATAAGGTCTTACAGTTTGGTTTTGAAAAATCCCCCCATGATCATTGTCTGTTCTTCAAGTATATTGGTGCAGAAATTTTGGTTTTAACTGTTTATGTGGATGACATCCTGCTGACAGGATCCTCACCAAAACTCATGGATGAAGTCAAACTATATCTTCACCAAGCTTTTACAATCAAGGATTTTGGAGAGGCCAACTATTTTCTTGGATTGGAAATAAAATTACTACCAGATGTGATGATTTTGACTCAAAGGCAGTATATCTTTGATATCCTTGATGATATGAATATGCTAGAAACCAAATCTACAGCCACTCCTTTGCCTACTGGTTTGAAGCTCTCTGCTAAAGATGGTGAACCTCTTGCTGATGCATCAAGGTACCGTAGATTAATTGGAAGGTTGCTGTATTTGAACTTCTCTAGACCGGATGTAACTTTTGCCACACAGCAATTGAGTCAATTCACGAGTGAACCTACTATCACTCATTGGAGGGCAGCAACACACTTACTAAGATATCTTAAGGGAACCATGAATCACAGCTTGGCATTTGATTCAACATCTTCATTGCAGTTGGAAGCCTATTGTGATGCAGATTGGGGCACATGCCCTGACTCAAGAAAATCTATCACTGATTATTGTGTGTTCCTTGGATCTAATCTTATCTCTTTGAAAGCTAAGAAGCAGTCTACAGTAAGCATCTCATCAACAGAAGCCGAGTATAGGAGTATGAGCACAACAACAAGCGAACTGCTTTGGATTTCCTATCTTCTGAATTCATTGAAGGTGACTGTGTCACAACCTATTCCATTGCACTGTGACAACTTATCAGCACTACATATAGCTCGTAATCCGGTGTTCCATGAAAGAACAAAACACATTGAGATTGCATGCCATTTTGTCACACATCATGTCTTGACTGGTTTCATATCTTTGGTTCATGTTAGAAGCAAATCTCAAATTGCTGACATATTCACTAAGAACTTATGCAGTCCAATGTTCAAAAATTTGCACTCCAAGCTGTGCATGATCACGCTTGGTTCGAGAAGAGGGTGTCAAGAATTGAAGAATAATGGAGCATTAGAAGCTGAATCCTACAAAATCATTACAAAAAAAATGGTCATTTGTAGTGAAATCTTAGTCGCTACAATTTTCTTGCTACAAAAGCTATTTTTTGTTTCAGATATTACCGTAACAAATGGTATTTTTGGTATGGTCAACACATATTCTTTTGTTGCGGTATATTTCCGTTACAACTACAATAATTTTATTTTAAATTTCAAAATAAATCTAAAATAATATATCATATTTACATATATATGTATGTCATATATAATACATACATAATACTTACATATTAATATATACAAATTAAATACTTATATATTAATATATACAAATTAAAATTGAGGTAATTATATATTTAAAAATAATAAAATTTCAAAATAAATCTAAAATAATCTAAAATAATATATCATATTAATTTACATATATATGTATGTCATATATAATACATACATAATACTTATATATTAATATATACAAATTAAATACTTATATATTAATATATACAAATTAAAATTAAAATAATTATTTATTTTAAAATAATAAAATTTCAAAATAAATTTAAAATAATTTAGAATAATATATCATATTAATTTACATATATATGTATGTCATATATAATACATACATAACACTTATATATTAAAACATACAAATTAAATACTTATATATTAAAATATACAACTTAAAATTAAAATAATTATTTATTTTAAAATAATAAAATTTCAAAATAAATCTAAAATAATCTAGAATAATATATCATATTAATTTACATATATATGTATGTCATATATAATACATAAATAACACTTATATATTGAAATATACAAATTAAAATTAAAATAATTATTTATTTTAAATTAAAAGTATTATAAAAATAAAAAAACTCTACCATAACCCTAAGCAGCAATCGTGCGCCGCAGCCCCCTTCGTCTTCTTTCGTTTTCTTTTTCTTTGTGGATCTTCTGGTTCGTCTTATTCTTCTTCGTGGTCGTCTTTTTCTTCGTGTTTTTCTTCACCGACTGGCTGTCCACCGCCCTACACCCCTGAACCTCGCACCGCCTCGCACCGCCTCACTGTCTTCGGCCGTCGACCGCGTTCCACTGCTGCCCGCAGACGTCCACTGCAAAAAAAAAGAGCCAATTAGCGAAGGATTTTGTTCACCAATTTTATTTCGCTCGCAGATAGGACAAGTAGATTTTCAAATCCATCGCTATTAGGAAGGGATTTTGGAAAAAGATTTAAATTTCCTCTACAAATTATTTTTTCATTTTAGGCAAAAACTAAAATAAATATATCCTAAACCTGGTCCAATATCCCCCTCCAATTCCAACCGATTCTGCCCTCACGGATCTGCTCGCCCTCGTCGACCATCTGCTCTGCCGGGCGCCGCTTCAAGGCAGCCTAAAAACAACCAGAGCTTGGCAATCATCTCTTGTGTGGTTGATTTTCACCTGAGCGCAGAAGTTTGAGGGAAACAACCGCTTTCGCATCCTACGCTGCACAAGGGTACAGCTTCATCGCTTCTGCGTTAGGCGTCGATCTAGGCACTCCCCGCCTCTGTAAACGCTATTGATGCCTAGGAATCCAAGGATAAGCAGGTACTTAATTGATGCTTCCATTTTGGTAATTCTGATTGATCTGTGAATTGCGATGATTTATATAGGGTTTTAACGGAGGGTTTGGGGAAAAAAGAAGAAACTATTGGAACTTCTTGAAATATTTTTAACTATCCATCCAACATTAGAATTAGAAACACAAATTGCTCATGATGAGCAAAATCAATCAAACAGAAGTGTTTTTATTTTTTATTTTTTTCTTTTAACTTTAAGGCACAATTAGATTAGCTGAATTATTCAATTTTATAGAGGAAATTACAATTTATTTGCCTAAGAAAAATAAGTACACTTTTGTAATGAAAAGAATGTTTAGACTGGAAGATAAAATAAGTAAGATGGTAAGATGTTTTATGCTTTTCATTGTGTTACAACATGTTAAGATGTAACTGCTATTTTGATGAAGATTCTAGGATTAAATTAGTGTAAAATCAATATAATTGTTAGAAATATTAGTTTAGATCATAAAAAAACTGTATTATGAGTAGACAAAATTGTTTTGCATCCTGGTTTCATCATTCAATGAATAAGATTTCAGATGATGATGCACTTATATTAATGGATGTAGTTATCCTCCAAAATTGCAGGTGAAAAATGATATTTATATATATATACCTATCATTTTGTTCATTCTATGATCAACAGAAGCATGGGTTGATTAATTATACTTTATGTCGCTGATGTTTCATGTATTCATATAATTTGGAAGTGATTGATTCATTTATGCAGTGCATAATGAATCACGAGAACTCTTAGATAAGTTTCTTAAGGTTGCTAGTTCTGATACCGAAACTGTTCTTCATTATAATTCATACAAAAATTCAAGGTTGGGCTCCTTAGCTTTCAGAATTATGTACCTAGTTTGAATTACAAAAATTCAAGTTGATAGTACTTATTTTTAAACCAAACACTAATTATTTCTTTATTCCTTCATAATATTATTCGAGGTGTCAAATAATTATGGTGTTGTACCACAAATCTGTTATGCTTAAGATTTTGTCAGTAGTATTTGTGGTACATGGTGGGCTATTCGACTATATCTTCTCAAATTCAAACTCCTAAAGTCATTCATGAGACTAATTCCTCATGAGGTGTTGTGCAAATGCATGGTAATTAATTTTGGAAGTATATTAGTAAATAATGATAACCTTCAATATGCTTTATACTATTAAGAAACCTAACTATGAACCAAATTAGATAAGAGGTTAAGGACACACATCTTGGATCTGCATGTTTAAGTTTTATAACTAACTATTTTGTAACTGCAATATTATATGTGGAAAATAATATAGCGGTAATGTCCAGCCATGTGACCTGTATGAAAATGACTCTGTTTTATACAAATTTGAGTGCTACTTAAGTGGTGACTGCCAGCGAGTGGCCACAAGTTCATATAGGTATTTTTTTGTCACATTTCTTCCTGATCTAATCTTCACTAATTCTTTCCATCTCCATCCCTGAACAAACAATTTGTTCTGTCCAATTTCAGCAATTTGTTCTGCGTATTTGGTTGTTCTCCCAGAAGACCCGAAGCAAGAACATTGGAAGAAAGCAAAAATCCAGTGAGGTAATTAATTCACTATATTAAAATCTTCTATTCAACAATTTGCTTGATACCCAACACTGACTTACCAACATATATCATAATATCAAAAAAATATATAATGAATGCAAGAGTTTATGATAAGTAAAGTTAGGGTGAACTTGCAAACCATGGATTCTTGTTGGTTTATTATTGTTATGATTGTGTTTTAACATGTTATTGAGAACTTCTGAGTTCAGTCATTCTTAGAGATAACAACCAGTTAAACTATATGGTAGTCTGTCCTTTCCTACATATAAAAATTGTAGGTAGCAAAAACATCTTCATAAATGGGCCAATTCAACTACTTATATGCATTTAATTTAGTGAGATCTCTAAGGATTCCACAAGCATTTTTTTTTAGTTCTTGTTAAATGTTCAATGGTGGTTCAAAATTTCAAAATGTTACTCTTTATGATATCGGGTTGGCATACCCCAAGAACTGGTGTAGCATGCATGTGAGATTAATTATGTAAAATTAGTTCCGAGCATCGAAGAAGAATGCATGTTGAATTTCATAATTTTGTAAGTGGGAAGTTTGTTCATGGCATGTCAACTTGTTCCTGAAGCACATGATTAGCATAAAATTTATTTTTACAGGTACAATTTACTATATAGTTGGTGGAGGCAGAACACATATATAAGTTTATATATATGTCTGTGTATTGTTTGTATGAATTAATATTGCAATCAGAAAAGGGGAGGGTTGGGTACATCAACCACAAGAATTACTTGGAATATAAGGTTTGGGGACCACCTCCAAATTTAAATCCAACTGCCACCACATCAATTGCATATCTCGTGTATTAATTAGTTTTGAATTGTACCATTTGGGGCGAGTCATGTCGTTTCATACTCACATGTTTTGCATTGTTCTAGCCGCACAGATGGAAGGTCAGAGACCCCGGGGACTGATGTCCTTACCCCGTTGACGGTTAGTAATTTTTCGTTGCTAATTTTATTTGTACTTGTTAACTGAATCACCTTTTAGATAATAACATCCACTACTAATACATCACCACCACCTTCGAGAACATGCATGTAGATTATATGATTGACATTTGATAACGATTTTCATGTAGATCAGGTCTCGTATTCTTCTCATATCTCGTGGTTTGGAAAAACGCATTGTTGGTGAGGGGGTGTTGCTATCCGACCCTACCCCTAGTTTGTTGTCAACCTAGTTATATTATCTATATGAAATCGGTTTTGGTTGCAGCCATTTTGAGTAAAGCATATTCTATGGTTATTAGTTAGTCAAAATACTAATACATGATATAGTGACAATGCAATTTATATGGAACTGTAATTGGGTGGTTGTTTGCTCTGTATGACCTTGTTGGGTAGCATATAAATCTATAATTAAATATTTTTGTAGGCTGATGGGTAAATTGATTTTTTTTCCCCAAACCACTTTGATTTTTTATGTAACTTATGTTTTAGATATTTGGATACATTAACAGTACCCAATTAATTGTTGTTTTTAAATTGGTACATGTTTAAGTTGGTTGTTTAAACAAACAGCTTTTCACATGTATCAAATAAATTGATCACGTTGCTGGTTGTTTTATACTTGTGGGGTTGTACAGATGTTGGTCCAGATGTCATCAAGATAGGATCCATGCTATAATTATAATTATACTAATCTATATTTTACAATTTTGATTACGCTGTTGTATGGATGGTTAAATTAGGTGATCATCTCCGACCTTTTCTCTTACGTATGCTATAATGTTTTAGTTAATATCTTACATATTTTATATTGATTATGTAAAACGTGAGTCTTATTTTCTTTCCGATGATTTGCGCATGTTTTCTTTATATGTCCATAGGTGACATTGTTGAAATAGTAAGGGTTTTTGTTACATCTGCTACTGTTCCGGAGGCTGCACTTATTCTACGGACAACTTCCGGAGCACAAACACTCGGTGAGGTTGTCCGCGCCGAGCCAATCGACTGGACATTTAAAGATGTACGCAACCACATTTAGAAGATTTTCTAATGGATTACAACTTAATCATCTCACAAATAAATTCTTATATAATTTTGCACAATGTTGGCAACTTGTTCGTCGCCCGTAACTACGGTGTACGGCCACTTTGACGGTGCATGGGGCGTTGCAGCATGGCACGTGATTCTATGATGATTGACGTTTGTTTGTGGATTGATGCTAATTGAGTCCTTTATGTTGGTTGAACTTGCTGTCTCTGCTCATTTTGTGTTTTTGTTGCTACGTTTGCCATATATGTTAGGCTACATTGCGAAATATTTATGTTTCCACACAGTGCGTACTTGCTACAACTTATGGTGATACAGAATTGCTGTAATATTTTCATATTTTGTAATATCATTTGGCAGTATTTTCTCACATCGTACAGGTTTTTCGGTCCCGAAACCATTTTTTTTAAGTTATTATTGAAAAAATAAGGAAATTTTTTTCAATACAATAAATTGGTCGTTACAAATAAAGGTACAAAAAATATTAACCAAGTTTCTGAAAACCACCTATTGTAACGAATTACTACCGTAACAAAAGCCGTTACAAGTGGATAAGCGTTTATTGTAACGATTATTTTATAACGGTAAATGGCTGCTACAAATAAATCGAAAGTACAGTGATAGCGTTACAAACACTGTTACAATAAACGCGTTGATCACCCATTTTTTGTTGCGGAAAAAATCGGTACAGAAACTTTTTGTAACTCGAGTATATGCACCGGTCAAAATCCGGTACAAAATCGTTACAAATAGCTTTTTGTACCAAAAAATAGCCATTGAACCGCTAAAAATGGAACCGCTACCAATGACCATTTTTTTGGTAGTGAATGAATTGAAACCGAAGGAAAGAAGAAGGTGAGAAAGAAGATGGAGGTTAGGACATTGGGTTGTTTGGTGAGGCTCTTGTGTATTATTATGTTTATTTTATTTGTAGCCCACTATTTATTCATTTAAGTCCAATTATAATAATTTGTTAGAATTAGATTCTCTTTCTTATTTCTGTGTATGTATATAGTGATGTACATTAAATGAATTTCATTTTGTGAGAAATACAAAAGATCATCTTCCCAAATTCTCTTCAACATATTCTTACTTATAAAAAAAAAAAAAAAAAAAAGAAAAAGAAGAAGAAGAAATAAATAAAATTCTCGTGTGAGCAGAGCAGAGGTCTTTCTGACGATTTTGAACGCTATTTATTCATATTCATAGAGAGACAGCTTGGGTACACATTTCTTTTCTCCTGCGTTCTCACTGTAAAATTAATATTCATATTGAGAGACAAGATCTATATGTTGTTGATGGTTTTTGCTCTCCCTCTGCATCTTGGCACAGTACTCAAACAAGCTCCCATCAAAGCAACGTCGGACTGCCTCCTTTGATAGGCATCCGTCCTGATCCCACGCCAAAACGTACAGCATGCCCCACTCCATTTTGCTTGCCACCCTGCTACCGCAAACACACACACACATATATATATATATATATATCAATCAATCTGAAATGTCCAGCATGCATTTGGGTTCCATTAAATTTCCACGACGCACCAGCCAAAGAGGTCTAGTGCTTCCCTATTGGCTTCAGTCATGTTCCACAGCTCCCGCAGTGTAAGCTTGTCTGGAAATGTTTGCGCATGCTTGCTGAATAAGTTCTCGAAATTCGCCAGCATGTACCTGAATATGGAATTCAAATAGCAATCTTGAGAATGCATTCTGAATTCAAGTATAAGGTACCACCACCACAATTCACAGCACTTCAGTTCAGGAGTAGACTAGAGTGTACATACATACATACTTACCTTCCTTCGTTATCGTAGATTCCAGTGTCGCTTCCGTGCTTTGCCTTGTGTATATTGTAGAGGTATACTGGGAAAAATGGAGAAAGAATCCAACTCTGTCATAATATATACAACTAGTTATCAGCAACAAGTCAGAGGAAGGCTGGGGAGACGAGACTGGACAGGGCAACAAGTAACAAACTTACAGGTTGAGTGGGAATACTCAACCCCACATTGATGACAAGGGCAATAATAAGAGAAGCAACCATATTGAAACCAATTTGGCGAAGTCCTGCAAAGCAATATCACGCCCACCAACATGGCTTTATGTATGCATAGGCATAGCTATGACAGGTATGATCTGCCTGAGACTTTACTACAATTGCCAACCAGGCTGCTCCAAATTCTGGAATCAAGTAAAATATATCCTTATGATATGGTATTTACCTGCATATGTTTCCCATGGATAGATGATCCCATTACCATCCTGATCAAAGAAGGCACAATGCTGCTGCAATACGCTCAAGTCATTATGCATATGGCCTGGGGTTCCATTAGGGTGGTCCATATCCGGTGCAATCAAAGCTCGAGCCATATCTGAATTAATTGCAACCGTATGAGTCAAATCTAGATGATCTACGTATCGATACAACCAGAAATGAACCACCAAGCTGTCTGATTTGGGCTTGTTCACTTTTGTAGATGTAGATATATATCGTGTTAATAGTGTATATTAAATTTTTATAATAATATTTATAAAAAATGGTTTTACCTGAACAAACTTTTTGTATCAAGCTTTTAGTACGGCCAGCTTGCAAATAGAAATGTTGTGCAATTTAATTAGATTAATTCTAGATTCTGAAAAACCTCACATATCAAAATATTTGAAAGATCATTCACTGATTCCGTCCACATCTGTATGGCTGTATGTATGGTATGCTCAAACACCATCACCATGTTGGCACCGGATCCATCGTAATGACCCAGACCCATTGAGCCCTGCCACTCAAACCGAATATATATATATATATATATTTATTTATCACACATATATCTATACGCAGGCCATTCCGATGCTAGGGATCCAGTGCCGTAATCCACCAAACAAATCCAAAGGTCTAGTAGATAGATATATAGATAAATATAGGCTTTCCATCCATTATACGAATTGGGAGTTGGGACACCACAGAATTCAATACTAACCCAAGTCGACAGATTGAAGAAGATAACCATCAATAATCAGCATAAAGGTGAATAGCATCAGTTTGCTTGGTAGCAAATAAGTCATCAATTTCATGCTGAATTAGGCACTGACAGGACACCGAAATCTCAATACAAACAGAGAAATAGTATGAACAGTAGGATAACAAGAATGAAAATGGGGAAATGATTTAATGCTGCATCACTTTGAATCCCGACTGTAGGTGAATAATAATCATCTTTAAGACAAAATCCAAGCTCGTACATCAATGACCTTCATATCTAAATTACTGTTACGAGCAAACAACTTAGTCAAGGAAAGTAGCCCCCTGGACGAGGAGATAATTCACCCTGTAAATAACCAAAACATAGAGGCCCCCAAAATACATAAAATTCGATCATCATTGCACAAGAGAGAAGATGGATTTCAACAACTTACAGGGTTTTGGAATTGAAGTTTCCAAGTCAGTCCGCACCGGCCGCTTGATGGTCTCAGGAGCAAGCGGCGCCTGCGTTGCTAAGTGAACATTTTTCTCCACTCCAACTCCAAGAGCCACGCTCTTCTCCATGTTCGCGCCCTCAAGAAATTACCTGTGTACGCCACGCACAACCAAACCCCTTCGAGGAGACAACAAAATGGAATTCGTCAACAGGAAAAGCCATATAATCTATTTATAGGTATGTGATATGTTTTTATATAAAAGAAAAAAAACAAAAAAAAAAACCACGTGCTAGGTGCGTGGCAAACATGCAAACTTTGCACTGCACAGACGGCGGCCTCACTTGACACGTATTCTGACTTACACAAGAATTTTATCTTTTTACTTCGATTTATTGAGGAAAGTAATTAAATGGCGAGAATTTCCGGATTCTTGATTGGGGTTCGGATACATATTTATTTTATTTATATTTGTAGAAAAGAAAGGCACAATAGAAAATAAGGCAAGGAGAAAGAGATCACTTTATTTATTTTATAGAAAGGCAGAATAGAAAATAAGGCAAAGAAAAAGAGATCACTTTATTTATTTTGCAGTAATTTGAATTTATAAAATTGAATTTAAAATTAATAGATGCATGGTTCTAACTAACCGCAGTTGCAATTTGGGTGGGTGGTTATAAAGGTGGTTGGGAGTGAGTTAGAGAGCACACAGTTTTGATGTATGCGGTTGTTAGTTATGTCTTCTTTCAACACACCTCCCTCAAACTGCACACCGATCTTTGGAGGAAACATGAGCTGGAGCAATGAACCCTTTGGCATATTGATCACGGACAAAGTGGCAATCAATATCGATGTGCTTGGTGCGTTCATGGTGGACGGGATTGTGGATCATTTGGATTGCAGATAAGCTATCACTGAAGATGCGAATGGGAAGGTGGATCTGAACGTTGAAATCACGAAGAATATAAGAAATACATAACAATTCTGTAAGAGTCTGAGCAATCGCACGATACTCTGCCTCGGCGGAGGATTTAGCCAAAGTAGGTTGCTTCTTGGACTTCTAGGAGATTAGAGATGTGCCAAGGAAGATGCAAAATCCAATGATGGACTTTCTGGATGATGGACAAGTGCCCCAGTCTGCATCGATGTAGGCAGCAAGATCCAGAGTAGAATTGTGGTTATAGAGTAATTGGAAAGACAAGGTCCCTTTGAGGTAACAGAGGACGCGCTGAGCAGTTTTGAGATGATAAGATGTAGGTTTGGACATGAACTGAGACAGTTGCTGAACCGCATACATAATATCTGGCCGAGACATTGTCAAATAGATCAACTTCCCGACTAGTCTTCTAAAGTGTTCGGGTTTGGCTAGTTCAGTGCCTTGATCAGAGGTGAGCTTTACACCAGGAGGCAGAGGAGTGGAGCAACTATTTGCATTTGTCATGTTTTCCTCTTGCAGAATGTCCAGGATGTATTGTTTTTGAGAGATGAGGATGCCTGCATTTGAGTGAATGATTTCAAGGCGTAGGAAGTAGTCCACCTCTCCCAAATCTTTAATGGTGAATTCTTTTTGAAGAAATTCCTTCAGTGACTGAACAGTGGGAGGATGATTGCCTGTAATGAGGATGTCATCGACATATACAATAAGAGCAGTGAAGTCCTCCCCTGTGCGCTTAAGAAACAGGCAATGATCATGAGCACTTTGAACAAAGCCAAAGATGAATAGTTTGGAGGTAAATTCTTTGTGCCACTGGCGAGGAGCCTGTTTTAGGCCATAGAGGGATTTGGATAAACGACATACCTGGTCAGGTGGGTGAATAAAACCTGAAGGAGGAACCATAAAGACCTCCTCTTCCAATTCACCATGTAAAAAGGCATTGTTGATGTCAAGTTGAGATACAGGCCACCGATATGATGTTGCAATGGATAAAAGGATCCGGACAGTGACTATTTTCGCTACTGGAGCAAAACTTTCTGTGTAATCTAAGCCAAATCGCTGTAAGAAACCCTTAGCAACCAATCGAGCTTTGCACTTATTAAAGGAGCCATCAGCATTTCGTTTGATCCGGTAAACCCATTTACATGTAATGGGTTTCTTACCAGGCGGCAAGGATACTAAGTTCCATATCTGATTTTGTATCAAGGCATCCAACTCTTCATGCATGGCATGCCGCCAAATTGCACTCCTGCTAGCCTGTGAATAAGAATGAGGTTCTTGCATGGGGATGTTGGGTGCATCAACGCATATAGAATTATTAGGGAGAGTGGTGGAGGAAGGTATAGAGTTAAGGATATAATCATGTAGGTATTTAGGTGGTTGTCGGGTTCTGGCAGGTCTTGGTGAGTGTATAGGGAGAGAGCAAGTTGGAGGTGTAGAAAAAGTGTTGGGTTGAGAATGTGTAGGTGCAAGAGGAGAGTTGGGTTGAGGGGTTGTAGGAGGTGAATCTAATGGTTGAAGATCTGATGGTGGATTGTTAGGAAAATGATGGAAAATATTCTGTGGTGCAGTGATAAAATCATAAGAATGAGAGAATGATGAAAGTGTACCTGGGACATTTGGAGAGGGAGAAGAGTCCTTCTGAAATTCCTGAGATAACTTTGCAAAAGGAAAGACCCCTTCATAAAAATGGACATCCCTAGAGGTGAATAAGGTGGAGGTTTCAAGGTTATATACTTTGTGAGCCTTTTGGTTATGAGAGTAGCCAAGATAAATGCATTTGTGGGCTCGAGGATCAAGTTTAGATTTGTTAGGAGAAGTGTTTGTAGCATAACATAGACAACCAAATGTTTTGATGTCCCGATAGGGTGGTGGTTTGGAGAAGAGCAGTTCATAAGGGGATTTCCACTGTAGGATGCGAGTGGGTAGTCTATTTATTAGAAAGGTTGCATGCAGAAGAGCTTCTTCCCAAAAATGTTGTGGAAGGTTGGCTTGTAAAAGAAGGGATCTAGTGACTTGAATGAGGTGTTTATGTTTTCTCTCCACTCTCCCATTTTGTTGGGGAGTGTAGGGACAACATAATTGGTGATCAATACCAAGATTTTGGAAAAGCAGCTTGCATTTTTCATTCAAGAACTCTGAACCATTGTCAGATCTAATGGTTTTGATGGTTTTATTGAATTTGTTTTGTATCATAGTAATAAAGTTTCAATTGTGCGGTATAGGTTGGCTTTGGAGGGCAGAAGGAAGGTCCACATACTTCTTGAGTGATCATCAACAATGGTAAGAAAATAATGACAATTGTTTAAGGTGGGAATCTTGTAGGGTCCCCAAATATCAAGGTGGACAAGTTGAAAAAGAGATTCAACATGAGATGAATCTTCATTAAAAGGTAATCTATGATGTTTGGCTTTGTGGCATATATCACAAGGTCTAGGTTTATGCAAGGAATTGAATGGTAAATGAGACATCACATCAATGCCAGGATGGCCTAGTCTCAAGTGCCACACTTGATCTTTGTGAGTTTCAGGAACACAGAGAGAATGGTGGGATCCAGGGAAGACGTAGAAGTGATCCTTTTGCACAGCTATGCCAAGAATTTCATCCCGACTCTGGCCCTGAAAGACACATTTATCAAAATAGAAGTTCACTGTTAGTATTGAATCTTGCGTAAGGCAACTCACAGAAATGAGGTTGAATTTGAAATCAGGCACAAAATACACATTATGTAATGTGATGGCAGGTGTAATGGCTATAGAACCAGTGAATTTGGGATGAGTTGTGGCTCCATTAGGTAAGCAGATTCTGGTGTGGCTTTGAATTGGTCGAAGAGTTTGAAAAAGATAGTAGTTGATACAAATATGACATGATGCACCACTGTCAACAAGCCAAGACATGTTATTCACAACACAAGAGTTGAACTGTTCGAATGTACTTGCATATTCAATTACAGAGTTGCTGAATGCAGTGGGACTTTCAGGGACTGTAGCCATTACTTTCTTTAATTCAGAGACCAAAGCTTGCAAATCTTTTGTTGAAAAAGGTGCTCTCTCCAGCTATACCAATTTTCTTAGATATGGTGGTACTCATGGTTAGTGGATTCTTCCTTTTCTCTTGCATCTCTTTGAACCAATCAGGAACTCCATGAACTTTGAAGCATGTGCCTTTTGAATGTCCTTTCCTTTTACAGACATCGCAGATCATATTCCTCTTATCCAGTTGAGCTTTTCTTTTATCGAATGGCTTTCTTCCAGTATTACTGATGGCCTAAGAAACACTTTGTTGAATTGCATTGAAGGCTTTCAAATCAACAAGATCAGGTATGTTGTTTTCTTTTTCCACTTGCAGAATCATAGAAAAAGCTTTGCTCATAGTTGGCAATGGATCCATCATTAATATTTGGTTTTTGATCGGTTGATAAATGTCACTAAGACCAGTGACGAATTGGATTAGATAATCCCTGTCATGTGTCTTATTCAAGTGGTCATTAATATTGCATCTGCAGAGACCACAACTGCACTTTGCTCCAGGCTCAATTACTCTGAGTTCATCAACAAATTTCTGTAACTTTGTGTAGTATATGGTTAGGGAGTCATTACCTTGTCTTAGAGCAGTAATTTCACTTTTGAGTTGGTAGATTAAGACGCCGTTGGATTGTCCAAACTTTTCTTTTGCTCGAAGCCACAGGTCTCGTGCAGATGAGACATACACAAATCCTTCCTGCAATTCTGGAGAAATCAAATTTCTGAGCCAAGATCGTATCATGGCATCGCAAGCCCTCCATGCATCAAAGTGAGCAGATCCTTCGACAGGTCTGGGAAGAGTTCCATCTATGTATCCCAGTTTCAATTTTGCCATGAGAGATGTTTCTACATTGAAACTCCATGATAGGTAGTTAAAAGTGTTTAGAGGAACTGAAGTAAGCGCCATTCCAGGGTGATCCCCTGTTCCAAGCAGGTAGGCTGATCCAGGCCATGGTTGGGAGTTGATGTTATTTCCAGAATCACCAGTGCGAGCAGCAGCAGCAGAAGAATTCATTTCATCCGCATGGAAAGTGAAAATCACAGCACCAGGAGCAGAGGTGCTCTGATACCATGTAGAAAAGAAAGGCAGAATAGAAAATAAGGCAAGGAGAAATAGATCACTTTATTTATTTTGCAGTAATTTGAATTTATACAATTGCATCTAAAATTAATAGATGCATGGTTGTAA